CACGTTGTCATTGTTCTTAGTGCTACATGGAGCAATGTACCAGTCCTTCATTTGTAGTTTTTGCAGCTGTGCTTCTGGATATGACACATTCATCAGCTACGCACTACTGAAGCTGATAGTATTTGCAGTTGTGACTGCAGGTACATTTCTTCCCATATGGACGTGGTTGCTTCTTGTGTTCTGCAACAGTTGGTTTCTTTCTAAGAAAATTGTCCAGACTTGGGCCATGACAGTCAAAAGGATCATCAGGAGGGCATACATTTTGTATCGTCTTGTATTGCAAGCACACACTTAATTAGATTCAGTTTCTCACGAGCTGTCAGACCCAAAATTGGTGTCACCTCCTTAGGTACCACAGTGAATGGGAGTTTGTACACCTTACTGTTATATTGGATGCATCTCCCTTTCATTGGTATAGTTGTTCCTGAATAGTCAGTTATTTTGATGTTTGTTGGGCTCATTTTGGGTCTCAATTTTAATTTTCTGTGTTCATGATCTGATAAGATATTCACCTGAGCTCCCGTGTCCAACTTAAATGACTCTACTGCTTCTTGCACTTCCACTGGCAAAATCCAGGCCCCCTGTTTTGCTTCGCTTCATTCCATCATATCAATATCAAACTCTTCTGGTATGCTCTCAGCCATATGCACTTAAGGATTTGTGTTTGAGATTCACAACACTTGGCAAAGTGGTTCCTCTTGTATACCAGAGCTTTCCAAATGTAGCACATTTGAAGCCCTGTTGCCTTCCACACTTACTATATGATCAGCTTTAAGTTCTTTCTTTAGTAGTGTGCTCCTTGCCGCAGAAAATCTCACTCTGTAAGGTGGGTTCCTATCACTGGAAAATTCCACCCTGTGATGTGGGTTTTTATGGATACACTTTTTCATGCCTAATGCACAGATGATCCCTTTTGGTGTAGGAATCAGCTTTACTGCCTGGGTCTTCAGTTTCTGCTGCCCTGCAAAAATTTAGGTAGTCTTTTCTAAAGACAAGTCTCCCTTACACAGTAGCCTTTCTTGTAATGCAGTGTCTGCAATGCCACAAATAATTTAATCTCTAATCAGAGATTCTGTCAGGTTACCAAAAGCAGTTCTTATTCAGTCTCTTTTGTTCAGTGATCAAGATTTTCTCCTGTTGTTTGTTGGCAGATTAAAAAATGTGTTTTTGAAGGATCTCATTTTTTTTTGTCTTACAAATCTCAAATCTGGACAGTATTACACTTAACCACATGTTTTGGCCTTCTGCAAAGGTGGTGGTATAAACAGCCAGGGCTTCCTCCCCCACAGTATGCAAAAACATTAAGAATTTGACTTTTCTCATTTTTCTCTTCTGCTTCTACAGCTGGTAGGTACTGTTCAAACCTACGATTGTAAGCCGTCCTGGTCTCTACTATATTGCTGAACAACAGAAAGGCAGGTGGTGGTTGCAACACTCCCCTGACTGTCCTTTTATTAAACCAGGGTTGTATAACTGGTGGACCATAAGGGGTTAAGTTACAGCCCCTCAGGTCCTGCTCACACTCTGTTCCCACTATGGCTCTGGCTGCAACAAGCCCTGGAGTCTCTGGATTCCCCCTCCCTCTTCTGGGTGCCGTTTCCTGCCTCCCAGAGACAGATTCTCTGACAGTTTATTTTCCTACTCTTTCTGAAAGCGACTCCTTTTCTCTTCTGCATCTCTCTTCCACTACTGTACTTGCTGCAGTTCCTCCACACTATTTTAAAAGTTTCCCCTAACCTAAATATTGACAGTCATCATTTCCCCTCTGATTCTTCTGTTGCTTTCTCTTCCTTTTTTCCATTCTTTCTCTTTCCCTCCCTCGTTTACCTTGCTTACCTACTGAGTGAGAGCATTGGCAATCGTCTCCCTTTTTCACTCTCATAGTTTCTGGATGGCTCTGGATTGTGGTTGGCTAAATCAGTCATATATTTTCCAATATTGTGGATTAATATTTGTATTGGGAAGCTTTCAGTTTTACACTACCAGTATTTTGTACTGTCACACTTGTATGACTGAATATATGTCCATCACAAATATCAAACAAAAGTACTATGAAAAAAATATTTACTAAACTGGTTTACCAAGCACTGCTGATATTTACATGAGATTGCAGATTCAATCAATTGGCACACTCATTCTGTACAGGGCGTGGTGTATACACCTGTGAATTCTTTGGCTGCTGAGTCCAATGCACAAGTGACAGTACTGCCCACAGGTAGGGCACACCCATGCACTAGGAATGCTCTGGATCTGAGCAGCAGATTCTTTTTTCCTCTGATGCTGGTCATCACAAAACTTGATCCAGTCTGCCTCATAATGCCTCACTCCATCTGCAAGCTGACTCGCCAGCCAGATTGACATTGTGCATTCCTTTCCCAGTCACCCACAGAGATTCCAAAGGACCCTAAGTCATCTTTGCAAGCATCCCAAAATCTGTGCAGCAGTCTGCCTCTCTTTCCAGACCCTTGGTAAGCTTCAGAGTACAGCACATTCTTTGGGATCCTGTGATCTGGCATTTGCTTGGCATGACCAACCCACCTGAGTCTTTTTGTACTAATCAATGTCCCCATGAATGACATACCAGCACAATTTAACACTTCCACATGTGTCACCCTGTCTTGCCATCTTATTTGAAGAACTTTATGCAAGCATCTGATGTGAAAGCTGTTTAGTCTTTTGATATCTTAGGCATAAGTTGTCCATGTTTCTGAGCCATATAGAACAATGGATAAAACATGTCTTATAAAAATGAATTTTCACTTTGGTTGACAGTTTGTTATCGTTTCAGGCTCTGTCTTTCCTGGCTGCTTTGCTGATTCTACTAGTGAGCTCAGCATCAAGATCTACATTGCTGATAACAGTAGAAGGTAGAAAAATTGGTCAGTAGCTACCAGATGAGTACCATCTAGGGTGATATCTGGAAATGGTTCTGAAGAGCCTTGGTGCATGATAACAGTCTTCTTCAAACTATTGCTAGCCCAAAGATTTTGCATGAATCAGAGAACTTGGTAATGAGTTGTAGGGCATCTACACTCTTAAGCCACAAGGACTGCATCATCTGCAAACAACAGGTCCCTTGTAATGATCTCCTTCACTTTCATCTTAGCTTTGAACCTTGCAATGTTAAACGGTTCTCCATCATGTCTAGTGCAGAGGTAGATGCCCTCTTGAGCATCATGGAATACATGTTGAAGCAGGAAGAAGAAGTAAATGTTAAACAATATGGGAGCCAGTACACGCCCCTGCTTCACTCCACTGTTGATGTTGAATGAGTCAATCTTGGTTTTCATAGAATCATAGAAGTCAGGTCGGAAGGGACCTTGTAGATTTTCAAGTCTGACCCCCTGCCTGGGCAGGAGAAAAAAACTGGGCTCAAATGATCCCAGCTAGGTAGGCATCAAGCCTCCTCTTAAAGACCCCCAGGATAGGAACCAGCACCACTTCCCTTGGAAGCTGGTTCCAGGTCCTAGCCGCCCTAACTGTGAAGTAGTTCTTACAGATGTCTAATCTAAACCTACTCTCCAACGACCTGTGGCCATTATTCCTTGTTATGCCAGGGGGCGCTAGGGGAAACAAGGTCTCTCCCAAACCCTTCTGGTCCCCCCTAGTGAGTTTATAGACAGTCACCAGGTCCCCCCCCTCAGCCTTCTTCAGCCTTCTGTGCTGGGAACGCTCCTACTAATGCAGCCCAGTATGTCGTTAGCCGTCTTGGCAACAAGGGCACACTGTTGGCTCATATCCAGCTTATTGTCCACTGTAACCCTAAGGTCCTTTTCTGCAGAGCAGCTGCTTAGCCAGTTGGTCCCAAGCCTGTAAGAGTGCATAAGATTCTTCTGTCCTAAGTGCAGAACTTTGCAATTGTCCTTGTTTGAACCTCATGAGATTTCTTTTTGCCCAATCCTCCAATTTGTAGAGGTCACTCTGAATCCTAGCCCTACCCTCCACTGTATCTGCTACACGCCCCAGCTTGGTGTCATCCGCGAACTTGCTGAGGATGCAATCCATCCCATCTTCCAGATCGTTATAGAAAATATTGAACAAAAATGGCCCCAGAACTGACCCCTGGGGCACTCCACTTGATACCAATTGCCAACTAGACCTTGAGCCATTGATCACTACCCGTTGATCCCAATGATCCAGTCAGTTTTCTATCTACCTGTGGCAGGCCAGAAGGGAGTGCTTCTCTGCTGAGCCACCCACCTCACTGTGCCCGACCACCTTCCAGGTCCCGAGTATCTCCCAGGGGATGCCTCACATCTGGCTGACCCCCTTCCTGGAGCACACCCACAAGCCTGGGGTTAATGCTGCCACCACTCACGAGTCTTGGTCTGTTAGTGGCTCTGTGCCTTATGAGGTACACAGGCTTTATAGACCTAAAGGGTACTTGACCCACTGCAAGAACTTGGGGTGCTTCCCTTAGTCTGAAGCACAAATCATGGTCTCCCTTAGCCGGACCAGGGGAACCCCAAGGCATAATTTAGACCCTCTCCCAATAAGTCTCCCCTGTTAGGTACAGAGGATAACTTTATTGATTACAAGGAGTAGGTTTGGAATAGGGTACAGGGTAGAGCAATATCAAAAAATAACCCTTAGAGGAAACAGTGGCATGATAGCCTTTGATCACGCATTTGAGTTACTGTAAGCTATATATCTAGTTCGATTTCAAGTAGCTTACTCACAAGTATCATCCAGAGACTATTAGAGCTTTCCTCTGAAGGCAGGCAGTTCATAGTGTGTCTCTGTGTTTCAAGAGAGAGAGAAAGTGAGCTGGTGAGGTTCACTACTCTGTTCTTCATTATGGTTGCCGCCCCTCCTCCTGGGTGGTCTTTAACTTATATATTCCTTATGACCTCATTTACCTGATCTGTTGAAGGCCAGCAGTTGTTGGCTGCCAGCCAACCAATTTGAAACGCATCATTGGTTGCCGGGTACACTGGCAAGGTCCCTAGCCCCCCTCCCAGTCCTGATGTCGTTGCTTTGAACAATAGGAAGTTCAAGCCCCTACCCACGTGTGCGAGGCCAGTCACATAGGCAAAGGGAGCAGCTTCCCCCCTCCTTTTGGAATGTATACAGCTCAGGTTACACCTCAAGGTTACCTGAAGCAAATGGGGGCAGCGGTGCCTGTCCTCTGCAGTGACCATGGTAACCAAATGGTCAAAAACCCTCTTTTATTATACTTGTCCAAATCAGGCTTCCAACTTCACAACCTGTTCTTTTTAAAGTTTTACAACTTTTTTTTTTATAGGTCACTTCATAGCTTAATTCCTAGTTAATTGAATCATCACTTTATTGTCTGTGTCTGGTAGATCCACTTTTCTTTACACAGACTATTAAATATCGTAAATTTGGGTAGTATCATCTTGTGGTTAGTCCTTTCTCCTTATGCTTTACATAAATAGAATTATTTAGTATTGTGTATGATCTTGGAGCCCTCGTTTGTTAAAAATTTCTTCTTCAATTAGTCATGCATGAAGTCTTCCCTAGTTACTGTACAAAATATACAGTTCTGCTTTCTTCCCTCTTCAAGCCTTCACCTGAAAGCAAACATAACAAAAAGAGAAAATATGAATTCCATGCTGTCTTCCTTTTCAGATTCATAAACCCTTCTACCACTTCCATGCTGTGGTTCAGTCCACCATAACTCCTTCCCTTGTATCTCACTGAAAGCCACCTAAAGAACTGTACATGGTACCATGTCCTACCATGTACAGTAGCAACGGTGGTACAGGTACATTGTTTGATGTTTTTTTGGCCCCGAGATGAACGGTCAGGTAAGAAGTGGGTTCTCTTTGTTGGTTGCAAGGTAGTTAGTTGAAAACAGCTTAACTGAAAGAAAGGTAAGCTACCATGTCGTAGCTTTCTTTTTGTATGGATGATCCAAGCCTGACCACAGAGCATCTGAATTGCTGCTGCAAATCCCCATCCTTGTTTACAAACAGTAGTCTGTGTGCCCATGCCATTAGAAATTAGTAAAGGTAATTAAGTACTGAAACAACCAACTGGTTAACACGGGATGTCTTTATAGAAGATATTCTTTAGTCAAACACAAGCTATTGTGCTTAATACAGCTGTAACAGCAAGAAATTCTGTTATGTAGGAGATCTGACTGAATGATCTAATAGCTATTCCCGGTGTTAAGATTCTAAGACTCTATTAAGATTTGAAGGGCTGATACGATTCATAAAACTATTGCCAAGAAATCAGGTAACTGTTTTGAAAAAAAAATATTGGGGGCTACAGATACAGCCTTTAAAATTTCCCTTAACCAAAAGTCCAGCTAGATGGTTCCTTTTAGTTTCCATGCTGGTTTATTTCAGCATATTTATGAGTCAAGTTATATAAGGAAAAGGGCTAGAAATTTAAATATGTTTTTAAAGAGAACCAAGGTTCCCTTTAGCACTTTCAGAAACAGGCTCTGTGAAACAGGTTCAGTGGGGTTCCGCAGGGCTCGGTCCTTGGGCCCGCACTGTTCAACATCTTCATCAGTGATTTGGACGAGGGGGTGAAAAGCACCCTGTTCAAATTTGCTGATGACACTAAGATGTGGGGGGACGTGGGCACATTAGAAGGAAGAAGCAGGCTACAGTCGGACCTGGACAGGTTACAAGGGTGGGTGGATAAGAATAGGATGTGTTTCAACACAGACAAGTGCAAGGTGATGCACCTGGGGAGGAACAACCAGCACCATACCTACAGGTTAGGGAACTCCCCTCTTGTCAGCACGGAGGCGGAAAAGGATCTTGGAGTCATCATTGACTCCAAGATGAACATGGGCTGGCAGTGTGGGGAGGCAGTTAGGAAGGCCAACTGTACCTTGTCATGCATCCACAGATGCATCTCGAGCAGGTCCGGAGAGGTGATCCTCCCCCTTTATGCAGCACTGGTCAGGCCGCAGTTGGAGTACTGCATCCAGTTCTGGGTGCTGCACTTCAAGAGGAATGTGGACAGCATAGAGAGGATCCAGAGGAGGGCCGCTCGCATGATCAGGGGACTGCAGGGCAGGCCCTATGAGGAGAGACTACGGGACCTGAACCTGTTCAGCCTCCACAAGAGAAGGCTGAGGGGGGATCTTGTGGCCTGTTACAAACTGGTCAGAGGGGATCAGAAGGCATTGGGGGAGTCACTGTTCCCCTGAGCACAGCCAGGAGTGACCAGGAACAACGGTCACAAGCTGGCAGAGGGTAGATTTAGGTTAGACATCAGAAGGCGCTATTTCACGGTCAGGGCGGCTAGGGTCTGGAACCAACTTCGAAGGGAGGTGGTGCAGGCTCCTACCCTGGGGGTTTTTAAGAAGAGGTTAGATGAACACCTTGCTGGGGTCGTTTGACCCCAGTACTCTTTCTTGCCATGGCAGGGGGTTGGACTAGATGATCTTCTCAGGTCCCTTCCGACCCTAGAAACTATGAAAGAGTCTTGAGTTCCTGCCAGCTCAATACTGACTTTGTCCGGTGCTGATGTCTGTCAAGAGAAGTGGTCTGTAGACTCAGGATGTTTTCCTAAGAAGATTTATGTCTAGAGTGGCGTCAGAGGTTAATCAGGTTATGGGCAAAGGGTAACAAACATAAGAATTTAAAAAAAAGAAAGCATTCTTTAGAGGGTCTACTCAGTAAAAACACCACGTCATATAGCTCTCTTTTGGACTGGGGAGCTTGTGCAAAAAAATCCCTCTATTAATAACACTGGTTCAGGGCTACCAATGTTAGAAACAGCTAGCGTAGTAGTAGTGTAGATGGGCCATTGTTTGTCTCTGGTAAGTCAAGTGTTCTGTCATCAGTTCTTTGCAGAACAGGTCTCATTGACAAAAAGTTAATATCTTATGTAAAATGTCGTTACTTCACACTCCAAATATGAGTTTAAACAACAAGATGCCTTCATTTGTTGAGAGTAGGTACTGTGCAGGATTGACTTAGAATTAGAGCATGAGAATCTTATGGACCAGAAATCCATGGTGTATGGGGTTTAACTAAATTTAGACTATCAGATACATTTCAGAGGTTGTGGTTTAAATGCCATTATGACTGTTGTATTGAATGGTATTAATTAGAGGATAGCATCTTCACATCTTCATAACGTATCCAAGCACTGTTTGAATTGGCAGCTCCAGTGAATTTTGAAATAACGGAACAATTTCAAACTGATCAGCTTTGGCAGTCTTTCCTGTAATGCTATAATGGTACCCTATAAACCCCCATGTAAAGGATAATACTGTATATTCACTGCTTTTGGTAATACTATTAATATAGCATCTGTTAATTTTTTATCACCTGACATCCATGTGTTTGGAAGGGATTTCTTCATTGAAGGCTTTAATATATGCATATATGTGTGGTTGTTTCATGGGGATTCAGATTCTCTATCATATGTAAAGTGCTAATCATTATAGTTTCTCAGTTTTGATATCTATGCCTGTTATACTTAAAATATAAATACTTCTGTCCCTAGTTTTCCAAGATATCTGGATCTCTAGTGGCAACTGGGTTAGGGACAGACATTCCACATAAACCAGCTTAAGTGATCAGAAACTGGTTTAAACCTGTAACAGAACAGGTGTCCAGTGCACATAAACTGGCTGAAACTGGTTTCAGATAAACCTGGTTGAATGTAGTATCATACTTAATTGATTTTGGTCAAACCAGTTTACACAGTGTCTGTCCCAGACCCCTTTCTGGTTTAAGTTGAATCAGAGTCCCCCAGAATCCCAGATGCTTTGCTGGGCAGGGCTCTGCTGTCTGGTCCAGCCCAGCAGGGCTGGCCCCTCCCCTCTGCTCCCTGGCTGCAGCTCCAGCAGAGACTGCAGATACAGGGCATCTGCCTGGCTTCCCCCTCCTCACCCCGCCCCCCACTCTCTGCTCAAGCAGGGATTCACCCTCCCCTCTACCTAACACAGACACCTCTCAGTATTAGCTAGCACACCACATGCTGGCTACAGTCCGTACTGCATCCACTTAGGGCTTTTTGGAGCTAATCAACAGGTACCTCGTAATGTCCCTCCCTTCCTTCCTTGAAAAAAGTTGTTTAAGAAGAGCTTAAACTAATGAAAGATCCTTTTGTTTTTCTGATGGTCTGATTAATGCTATGTAACTCTTTGCTGTGTAAATTTCTGCTGGCTCCCTCGCTGACCAGCAAGGTGGGGGGAACCCCTCCCTAATCAGTGTGTCCTGCTGGGTCCTGGCCACACCCCCCTCACCTCCTCACTGTGGAAGGGAAGGGAGGACTGCTGTAGAGGCCCCCCCACCCCAGCTTCTAGCCTGAGCCACTGCAGTCAGGTGCCTGTGTTTTCTCAGTCCGGAGGGAATGTCTGAACAGTTACAAGCTGATTCAGCTTAGGCAGCTTAGACTAACTTGCAAAGATTGAACAAATTCAGGCTCAGGCTTTTGAATGTCTGTCCCTAGTCCTAGACTTACAATTGCCTAAGTCAGGGATTTCAGAGATACAGCCCATGGACTCCTATTATATGACTAGTAAGGCTGCCTGTGGATCTTGGATTGGCCCTGTGTGCTGCATGTGGTATACAGAGCTGGTCTGGTGCATACTGAATGCAGTGCACAGGGCTGGGGCCAACATATGCTGCATGCAGAGCATGAGGCCTCTCTGGAGCACAAGTTCATTTGGTACATGGGACCAGTCTAGGGGACATGCTGGACCTGGCATGTGGGGACTGGTCTGTGAGTCTGATCTGGCTCTTATCTAGCCTGCAGGACCGGATGACTTTGATACCCCTGGCCTAAGTGTTTCCATTTTAATTCCCATTTCCCAGTTGCTAATGAGGTTCAGTATTTTTCACGTTTTGGCTGAAATTTCAGAGGCTTAGCAGAAGGATTAATCATACTTGGTAAGTTTAAGCAAAAATAGGCTAGCCACTTTTGAAAATTTAAGTAGTGAGGAAGAAGCACACATTTTCAATTGTAAAGAATAAATAAACTGTGCCACCTTTGGATTGTAAAATTGACATTTATCAGGCAAATAGTATTTAGGAAGTAAAACTGACCTTCTCTGTGTCCTAGAGAAAATCAGAGTATTTGGCACTTCTGAGTGTTTGAAAACTCGAGTTTGTCCATCTTTAGTAGCTTAATGGATCAGGCCCTTCATAGATGTAAACAGAGTCAAGATACTTATGAAAGATCCAAACTGAATCACTGGAACTTAGATGGGGCCTAGGCACCTATGTGGTCAAAATGAACATGCTTAAGTGCCAAAACAGAGGTGGTTAGAGATCTCTGAGATCCAAATTGTACATGCTGAGTGAGCATAGGTGCTTAAAATGATTTTTGGCCATTAAAGGTATTGTCAGATTGAGTTGCACGGGCCACTAAAATCCTTTTAATTCCCTTTTAGACACCTCCAAGGTCCTCATAAAAAGTGTGATGAGCCCTTCCACATTCCGTGGAAATGAGTTTCTGGGCATAAAGGAAACCTGTGAACTCTCTAAGGGACAAATTAAGAATTATACTGCATCATGCTGTTCTGTTTGTACAGTGGATGAAGCACAGTTACTTGCCAGTTACTGTTTGTTGCACACTGTGCTTTAAATTCACTGCCCAGGAACTGCTGGCTGAATTCTGCTTATCGCACTGTATAGCTATTGTACACTCTGTGAAAGACCTTCCCTCTTTAAATAAAATACTTAATTTGACATTGATGGCAATCTTATGTGCAAGTTGCACAACTTTTCCATTGTAATTGCACAGCTAATTTCAGTGTTGTTGTCCTGGTATTAATGAATCCAGTTGCCTGGGTAGAGAGTGAAACAACTTCTTCTATTTTTTTTTTTCCTTTAAAACTATTAGAAGAAATCAAATACAAAAGCTGTGTTCATGCAGTTCCATAACCAAGCACTCAGAATTTGTGAAATGCCAAACGTGTATGCTACCATAGTTCTCACTGATGCGCATGTATCACAATACACAAAATATAGAGGTTTCAAGGCAGGGCAAGGTGGTGCTTTAGGCCCCTGGTGGACATTACAGTTAAGATGCAATTAATCGGTTAATTGCACTATAAATAGTAACCCACCCACACATTCAGGCAATTAATGGTGTTGCAAAACGAGAAACCAGTCACACAAATATTACTCAAGTGTAATATTTTTGTGGCCAGTTTCCATCCTGCCTTAAATTGAATATGTGGCAGGGTATCCCTGCCATGTAGCCTGATGCTGGATGTATAGTGAGGCCCAGTTGACAACTCCCCCATGTTGGCAGGCTGGCAGCCATGGATGCAGCCCTGCATGAGGCTACACCCTGCTGTTTTCAGGGTACCAAGTGGAGGGGGACTTACCACCTCGGTCAGGGTGCCAGGCATTAGGAAGCTGCGGGGTTCCGCACAACCCAGCACGGTGATTGTCTTGCCCCACAGCTCTGATATAGGCTGAGGCGCAAGGCATGTTCTGATTGCATACACATTTAGCACTTAACAAGGCATAAAAATGTTCTGTATTATATGTGGAATATTGTAATAGCTTGTTTCCCATCTTATGGTGCCTTAAATTGAGTTCTTATGTAGCATTCTTCCTATTTATGCCCCAATTACAACATTGATTACAGCATAAATGTAATATGTAGAGGGGCCTTAGTCTGAAGTCAGGCTGGGCAGGGTGCCACCTTAGAGATTGTCTGGTTCAGAGAGGCATACGCTTTCATAAACAACCAATGGCCAGTGATACCTAACTTCTTTGCCCCTTGGGCCAGATGAGCAGTGCCTGGTCCATCTGGGGCCAGATTTGGCACATGGTGCTGGCCCAGCCAGGGCCCAGTGCAGCTGTGTGTGGGCAGCCTGTTCCTGTACACCTGCATCAGGCGTTGACACCCCATGGCTGCATCCATCCCCACCTCTGCCCAGAACTGTCTTCTACACTTAGGGAGCCTTTGGCAGCTAGCCAGCTGCTTTACAGTCCCTGAGCCCTATGCTGAATGGATGTGAAAAGCAAATTTTCTTTTGAGTTGAAAATGTTTAGCATAAACTAACTTACTTTGAGGGAGTAGGGTTTTGAATAAATACTTACTGGAATACATCTTCTTATATTTTTTACCTGTTTCGTTATCTTTAAAAAAGAAAGAAATTAAGAAGCTAAAACCAAAACCCAAACCCTAAATATTTGAAGAGTGTTAACGTTGGGAATATAGCTGCACAAGATTTTAGACTCTCCCTGCATATATATGCCTTTTAATGCACAATTATACAACACTAAAACAATGTGATGTATTTGTTAGCTGATCATACCTTAAAATGGGAAGAAAAGGATTTTTTCTATTCTCTGCTTCCCATAGACTACATGACTTGCTGAATAGGAGGGCCACGCACATGGTC